TGTCTGGAATGCAGACACTGAGAGGGAAGAGTAATCATGGATGAGGAGCCAGATCCTGCAGAGCTAAATATGTAGGTCTTTTTTCCTAAAAGTAATGAAAGCCCTAAACAATTTTAATCTCTAGGTAGTATAAATTATATGCCTTGGTTAAGCAGCATATTCAACTATCCCCACTCAATGCAGATTAAATAGATCATAGAGATAAACAAAATGGCCAAAAGCTAAACTCTGAGAATGTTAAGTGCTGGGGGGAAAAAATGTTTTGAATGCTGATTCTATTATCACTACCTCTAACAGCTACTGCTACTTGCATTACTCTAAACAATAGTACCTAGCTGTTACTGTTTCTAAATGCTAGTGTGAGTCCTTTGCATAAATTACCTGACTTAATAAAACACTTTTACAAAGAGGTACTATTTAGAAACTAACAGAATGCAACTAGTCCAAGTTCTCACAGTCAGCAAATGGCTGTATGAACAGGGAAATCCTCGCCCCACACTCGCCAAGCCTCACCCCACCCTCGCCAAGCCTCACTCAAGGGGCCAAAGAGCCGCATGTGGCTCGCGAGCCGCAGTTTGCCGACCACTGAGTTAGAGAAAACCCACCACACCAGAATGTAGAAGCCACAGCCTGGTTCATGCTGTTGAGGCCCAGTGTGCAGTTAAATGTAGTCCAATGAAGGTGCTGCCACTCCTGAGGCCTGTTGTGGGCACATGGACCTGAGGTGCTGAAACTTTAGGCAGTTTAACTTTTTTGCTCTTTGTTTGTTTTGTTAATCCTCACCTGAGGATGTTTTTTCCATTGATATTTTAGAGAGAAAGGGAGGGGGGAGGGGGAGTAGAGGGGAGGAGAGAGAGAGGAGAAAGCGAGAGAGAGAGAGAGAGAGAGAGAGAGAGAGAGAGAGAGAGAACAAACAATGTGAGAGACACATTAATTGGTTGCCTCCTGCATCTCCATGCATGCACCCTGACTGGGTTGACTGGGCTGGGCATCGAACCTGCAACCAAGGTATGTGCCTTTGACTGGGAACTGAACCCAGGACCCCTTGGTGCCAGGGCCAATGCTCTAA